TCAACGTATCTTTCCAGTTTTTTTTTGCCTTTGCATCGCATATTTTAAACCATGTTGCTGTACATCGTACATGTTTGCATTGTACAGAAATTAGCACTGTTGGCTCCCCAAGTCCTCACCACGGATCCAACTATACAAATTAAATTTTTTTTTAAATTGAAACGCATTCGATTTTACCAAACCCAGCACCGTCTACGGAGATCGGTGGACAATGAAGCCCCCGGGTGTCTTGTGACGAGCCAGCACTGAGAATTTTGTAAACCCAGCTCCGGGTCATTTACGACCCATCATCATTTTGGCGGCTTAGGTTTAAGGTAGCTATTCCTGTACCCGCCATTCCAGTAGGACCAACATGACCTTGGCAATTCATCCACATATCCCATCTCCTCCTGCCCAAGTTTCCAAATAAGGTAGCAGGGCTTATTCTCTGGTGGGACAGAGAAGAATATATTCAGTTAGTCACCTCCGTAAAAAGACAAATTGCAACAATGCAAGGTCATATTCTTTGGGTCTTTCGGTAAAGTCACGTAGATAGGTTAAAAGAAAATAACAAAAATAACAAAAAAACTACGACATTTCGATTGCAACACAAGCACTTTTTCTTCCTGATGATGAACGCTTGCGTTGCGATCGAAACGTCGTAGTTTTTTGTTATTTTGTTATTTTCTTTTAACCTATGTCACTTTACCGAAAGACCCAAATAATATGAATTCCTGCAGTCACGAAAGCTTTAAGTCAAGATTAAATGCAAGGTCACTTTAATTCACGAATAGATGTTTTTGTCCTTGTCCAAAACACAGAGTATGCATCTACTAAATCTAGCGGTACGAGTTTTAACTAGAAATAATCAGTACTCGCACGATTCGATGCATACATATAAGGAAGCATAAGGCTCGCATCAATGAATTCATCAATCGTTGCGCAACTGCAGGGAACCTGGTGCCAACACAATGTTACACCGATTACAAGTTGTTGGAGCGGAGAGATAGTTTTTTAAGGACTTGGCTCTCAACCCATGGACGTGATTTTAATCATCCGAGCCAACGATGGTTTAAGAATGTAAAAAGCCACTCAACCGGATCATCCACAATTCTGTCTGCTCAAGCGAGAATTGGATGTCACTCGCTTCCGTTGGAAAGCCTGAAGCCGGTGGTAGAAACTGCTCAAATTTGGCACAGGGGGCCAGTCACACCATTGGATGACTCTTGTGGCTTCACTTTAAGTCGTACTCGTTTTAGTTACCATTTTACAATTTTTATTTTACCAGGTAAGCCTCATTGAGTTACACAGCTCTTTTTCAGAAGCGACCTTGCCACAAATGATAGCTCAACGAAGTGGCTTATCACGTGGAAATTCAGATCAGCCAAATACTTCAAACGCATGTCGATTCTAGAGGGAAAAACCACAGGACCCGAAGAAAAAAAACACACGACCACATGGAAAGACATGCAAGCTCCAAATACACAGACGTCAAGGTCGGGATAGGTTGTTGTATTGTACTTATATGCTCCCCCACATCTATACTCTCCATCGTCAGTAAAGGGCACCGAGAACTACGTGGTGAAGTATGGTCAAATCGCCCCCAAAATCCGCACGGCATGGGGAGGCCCTCATCCAGCAGTGGACTGACAAAGGGCTGTAGACATGCATGCACACAGACGTATTGTGCAGACTGTAGGAGGCAGTGCTGTTACCAAGCACCTTGTACAGACTTGATGGCCCACAAGGTGTGGCCAAGGACCATACCCAGCACCCACCGTTGTCCTACGCTATACCAGAAACGTGTTTAAGGCAGAGGCAATTTAATGGAACCCAGGTTGTGGATTTATTGAGCAGTGTGTAAATTACTGCGCTGGCACCACCACCACAAGGACAACAATCCCACTTCCCTTATAACCCCAACAGACTATTGGGGCAAGTGCTGTGAGCGAGCACCTATGAAGGCCGACACGGCACACGGAGAGGGTGGGTGGCCAACACCACGCCTTTGTCTCCCTAGTGGCGATGTTTACACCTTGCAACGGGTATTCCTTTGAGGCCGAGTCGATCTAGGAGAGGACCAGAACCAGCTCACACACACGCTGAGAACAGCGATTCATACAATAATCCCCTACATTTAAATTACACAGCTGCTACAGATCATTTACTTTCTTCTTGCTAACTATGTTTACATTTTTGAGCTCGACTTCACTGTTTGTTTTCAAGGGAAATGCACTTTCGACTAAAACACCTATCCACATGTCGACGGCCAATGCTTTCGGTGCAAATTCCCACAGCAAATGTTCTTCATAATCAACGATTTTTTGGGTTTAGATCGCGTTTATTTATAAATGTGTCGTAACCCTCCACCACCCGACACGGCCAATCAGTAAAAATGTGTCACGTTGACAAAGACAAATAGTTCACTGCTTTAGCCCACCGGTGGGCTAAAGCAGTGAAGCAGTGAACTATTTGTCTTTGTCAACGTGACACATTTTTACTGATTGGCCGTGTCGGGTGGTGGAGGGTTACGACACATTTATAAATAAACGCGATATAAACCCAAAAATCGTTGATTATGAATAACATTGGTCGCGAAAGCCTACGTGTTAAACTAGCAAATGTTCTGCTGAAAGCCTATTTGTTTCAACGCGCAGGGAAACGGCACCAAATTTCACAACTAATGTTCAGTAGGGCCTTACCAAATAGTGGTTGACGTTCAGAATCAGAATCTTTATTTATATTGGGAGGAATCCGGTGAGCTATAACATCTCTTGTTCACAGATGTCCAGGTGTATACTGTGTCTAATCCCAACTAAGTAATTAGTAGAGGTTTTTTTCTCCATCGTAGCGTTGTTTTGGCCACTACCAGTTACCAATGTGTGTTTTAGCATCTCAGAGAGGAAACCGGAAAATCCGGAGGAAACCCACGCAGAATAGGGGGGAGGACATACAAACTCCACAGATTCGAAGAAGCCCAAGCCAGGCATCGAACCCAGGGGTTCACTTTTTGCTGGCGAGGCACAAGTGTTATGACTGCACCACCTAACCGTATAAAGTTGCCATTTTATAAGAATGTGTGTAATATTTAACTTTGCACGCCAAGGCGTGCTAAAAAGCTGGCCCAAGAACAAATGTAAACATTGCTCTGTCAACGGGACACACTGCAGCACATTGCTTGCACAGACATTTGCATAGCAATGAACCAGGGGAACAATATATGGTTGGTTACTAGGTCAGTTTCTGTGCTGCTACACCTCAATGGGTTTCTCCAACAATTTAAATACAAATGGATGTATATACTCGTTTATTATTATTTGTATTTTTTCCTACGTGACTTTACCGAAAAAAATCTAAGAGTATGAATCCTTGCAGTCATGAAAGCTTCAAATATAAAATACTATATTCTTGGTTATTTCGGTAAAGTCAATTAGATAGAAAACTAAAAGCAAAATTTAAAAGCAAAAAACCCACGACGTTTCGATCGCAAAACAAGCGGCCTTCGTCAGGTGGAGAACCTGAAGGCCGCCCTGTTGTGATCGAAACGTCGTGGGTTTTTTTGCTTTTAATTTTGAATTTAGATTTTTGCTTTCTATCTACGTGACTTTACCGAAAGAACCAAGGCTATGAATTCCTGTAGTCACGAAAATTTTAAGTCAAGATTTATAGACTGTACAAGAGTTGGACTCCAGCCGCTCTCAAACCACGTTGATCAAGGCGTGTATTTGTTTTGTTTACCATACTTCACCATTCTGGTCGGAACGGAGTGGAGCGCAGGACTCTATCGAACGGCACTTGTCACGGACGTTAGCCGTGGTTGTAAAATAGAATTTCGGTCTGTGGGTTAATAACGCAATAAGCACTGCGATAAGCACTACCATCGCTCCAGCCCAGTTTTTTTTATAGGCACGCGTACAACTTGTTTGTTAAACCTATGCCAGACATCCTGGGTCTTGAGACTAATTTTCAAGGTGATGCGACCGATCCCTTGTGGAGCATGGAAAAGCAACCTCGAATAAGCCAGTCCCCAGAGAAAAACCACACGTGGGAGAAGGGGAACAAACTCAAACCCGTTAATACATGGCTCAAAAACCTACTTGCTGTACTGCCTACTATAGGTGTCTTCTTGCCTGGGAGGCAGGTATCCATCGGATACGATGGCCACCATCGTACCCACATTCAAATGTTACAATATAAGATTACAATCCAACTTGCTGCACTGCTCTGACAGGGTACTTCGCAAACCTGGGGGCTCAATCTCTACACGATTAATTTTTCCTTCTGCCAATAACGGACTGCATCTGTCAATTAAATAACTATGCCCACAGCTTCTTTCGATTGTCTCTCGATGCAGTCACATTTAAATGTAATGTGTGTAAAAAAGTGGCACCTTTGAAGGCCGGGGGCACACCGCACGGGGGGGGGGGGGGGGGGGGGTGGGAAACACCACAAATATGTACACACTGCACCAGGTACTCATTTAAGACCGAGTCCACCTAAGGGAGACCCAGCGTCACCACTCTCTGTAATATTAAATCGCAGGGTTGAGAGAAATGGCGGCTTGGATAGGGGCCTTCATCCATAAATGAATTGACCATGGCTTATGAGGATTGTATTGTGGGGCGATGCTCATCACCACGGGCAGACCCCAGCCAGTGGTGATCTTTCCACATTGTTGTGCCAGGGGGCAGTCCACTGCCGACCCCCACACAAAGTTGTACTGCGTTTAGCCACCCCCTGGGAGTCATGGTCGGCACAGCAGACCCCAGTTTGGGAATTGAACCCACGGTGGCACCCGGTCACAGATGACCATAAATACATGAAGATGTTCAGACGGCATGTGTTAAAACGTGACTGGATGTACAATACAAACATAAGTGTATACAACATTTTTCTCGTGTGACGTTGACAAAAAAAAATGTTTACAGCGGGCTCATCAAGGAGGAAATGAAAGTACGCAGATGAAGAAGAGGCTCAAAAAAAAAGAGGACAGAGAAATTGACGCAGACATGTGTACTTACTTGGAAAGTGACACTTGCTGGGCTACTGTTGTTGGAACCATCATCGTGGCACATCTATTGACAAAGGGGTGAAACAAAGGTTGAAATTGTTTATGAACGCAGGGAACAAAAATAACAAAAACACACACGCAGAAAAACGAACAAAACAAAGACGCAAACATGACACAGGAAACGAAACTTGAGGTGGCAGATGTCTTTCGGGAAATTCCGTCACGGAATATGTGAGATGGCATCTACTACTGTGTGTGGTGCCTGTGGGATCAAATCAACCGGATATGTTGCCCCATCTCGTCAGCCTCTCGGAAACCCAAGCAAAGGGCCCAAAGCCTGGAATAGCGCTTGAATGGGCAACCACCACGCATAAAGTAACTGCGCCATCAATGGCTGCGGCTGCTACGCTAGATTGTGAGCAGAAGGCAGGGAGCGTCAGAATCCTCTGCGCTGTACCACGCTACCCATCTTCACCGACCGACACTGACCAGGCCATGGCGAAGTATGGACAATTAACCTCGACAAAACGCATGGCGTGGGAGGGGGGCCTCATCCAGCAGTGGATTGATAAAAGAACAGTACAGCTACATGCAAGAATGGTCCTCGGACTCGCCAACCCACCATTGTTAAAAGAGAATGAAAAGGTAAATTATATTATCTGTAAATGATCAACACAATGACCCCTAGCTGGCACAGAATTATTAAGAGAACAGCCCCACTGCCGATGCTATTGGCGCCTTTAACACACCCTATTACCGGTTGGGTCCTGGGGCATAGTAACTAACTCCTAGTCGGAAGGTCATAAGTTAAAATCCTGGTCGAGGCCAAATCAACCAAATCACTTTTTCTGGGGTGCGTAAAATAAGCATCACAACTTTTAGCGAAGCCGGGAGTGGTTCGTCCTGACGAGACGCGGCCTCCACCACAGGAATTTACGTCGGTCACGGTTCGCCCACCAGAGATAGGCAAGAGCACCGCACGTTGAAATGTTACAAACGCAAACGAGCGCAGTGCAAGAAGGGCACGTGCGTTGGACGGTCGATTGTGTAACGAGCAGTAAAAAGGTCAATTAAAAAATGTGGACCAAAGGGGGCTTCAGAGGAGGAGGTGCTGGGGACACATCTAATTGTGCCGATGCAGACAAAAAAATTTAAGGGGGCGAAAAAAAACACGAGGGCAATTAACGCTGCAGCGAGTCTGGTCCCTGTGCTAGTGTGGCTCAAAGGTCACTCGCTGGCGCATCTGAGCCACGCCAGCAAGGGGGGGGGGGGGCTCTCACAGTACGGGGGTAGTTTTACGATCTGCAGAGGAGCCGAAACCACACCATGCTATGCTGGTCTCGCAGGCGTCGGAAGCTGGCTTGGGGCCAAGTCGGGCCACGGGGCGGGGATTCAACATTGCCTGCGACACGAGTAGCACGGCTCAGCTTCCGCAGTGGAAAATCAAACAGAGGCGCTGGACTGGCTCATCGCAGCCGGCGGCGTGGCTCGTTTACATGGTGGGGACAACAGGTAAAATGTGCCCCCCCCCATGTCCAAGCCAATTTGGGGCAGGTGCTCAAACCTTGTGGGTGGATCTGAGCCACTGGATAAAACTCCACATCCATAGGATGACCCCCACTGTTGACTTCCCACAAGGTAGTGCTTATTCTATCAACCACGAAGTGATGATGGGCAGTGTCACTGCTTAAGACCGTCCCAAATGCGAGTTGAGCTTTCCAGGGCAGGCAAACGTAGTCAAATACGAATGACGTAAAACGTTTCCAATTTGACCGAAACGTGAACTGTGTGCAAGTGCATTTAACAACGGACGACTTTTTGGGGAAGATGATGCCAACAACAACAAAAAGTGAACAGATGAAAATAAAACAAAAAGAGAACGTAAGATTAAAAAAAACAGCACGAAGAAATCACGTTCACAAAAACAGAACAAAGAACACGGCTGCAGAAAGGGTAGCGATGCATGCTGCTAAATCGACAAGGTAAGACACCGACGTGGGTAAAAAAAAAAAAACTTTATTGCGTGTGATGTGGCCACGGACAGCCCAACACGTGGTCGATCTTTGCTTCAGTCACAAACCCACCTGCGCGATAAGCACCGCTACCGTTCACGCTCTCGACACATTCCCGCGTATCGTTTACCTTTGCCTTCGTAAGACACGGCCCGCTCGCACGCCAAACGGGCACCCCTTCCCGCTGCCAACACGACAACCCACTCACCTTCTCAAGCAGGACACCGTGTCGTTTCGGGCCGGGCCGTGCCCCTTGATAATTACTTGTCGTTTTGATTTTATTATATCGAGTTACCGATGAAAGTCATTCGTCTCCACATTCGTGCGCTCTAAAAAAATTACTTTGAAAATATCTGACAAGGTGGTGACATGGTTGGGAGCGTTTGCTTTGTAATGCGGAGGTTGAGAGCTCCGGTCAGTGGTTGACCTGGTCTACATCAGCGGTTCAGCGGTTGCCCAATAGACATACTGCTTTTTGCCATTGAAAAAGTGGAATTTCCACCACTGGCTCATGGCTTTCAAACAGTTAAGAGCATTGTCCGATTGCGTGAGAGAGCAGCAAGTACATTTTGTCTGGGCACACCTGTATTCCAGTGCTATGGATACAGTTTGTGTGAATAACACCGATCGTCTTGGACGCGAGACTCAAAACCGCTGGGCTATAAGGCAATGATAACATAGCGCTTACATCAGTGTCGGATACAGGTGTGCAAATTACACTTCAAAGATTTGCTCATATCAAATAAAAGAGTGATGGCTTCGAAACCAAACCATTGCTTCCCCAATACGGGATAGTTTTTTTCTCGTCTCTGTGGAAAGTGTGGAAGCCTCTTCTATCATTAAAAAGAGAGGAATCAAGTTCAATAAAACCGTTGAAAAAGACAGAAGTTGTGGGTATTTAGAGCCGGTCTATTCAAACAAACGGCAGATGCCGCAGCTATTTACACAACACGAGGGAACTTCGCAGGGATGTGAGCAGGGCGACCCAAACAAAGTCTCTGAACCCCAGCCGACCCTTCCACGAATCAAGACAAGGGAGCCGCTTTCAAACCGATAGATGTTTCAGATTGATCTTACCACAACCAACGCCAGATCGAGCCGATAGCTACAATAGTGGTGGGGGGGGGCGGCGGTCTCTTACGACTCTGGCCAGTCTCGGCTGGAGAAATCCAGGCTCAGCCAGAGCCTGCGGACCGCTCGGGCTGAGAACGAGTAGTGCGAGCTTGAAACGAAAAATAGCAAAAAAATATATATGTAAGAAAGCACTTTGACCTACTGATAAACGCTGGCAAAAAAAATGCAACAAGTCAAATGAACGTTTGCCAACTTGGTGAGCGCACCATTAGCGGTGCTAAGGTGAGATTGTTTTTAACAACCACTGCTATCGCCACACGGTGTTGTAATAGTGTTAATAAACAAGCTAGAGCCACCGGCAGCGCGTGAGTGTTACAGTGAGACAACGTGTGGCATTGCAATGACAGTCGATGGGATGTTAAAATCTAAGAACAGCAAATATCGCATGACATAAAGTCATTGCCACCTGTTAATGATTGCAATAACTTTAACCATTAATTACAATATAACTTACAGCCTATGTCAACCTATTGCTGAATGAAAGCCTCTCCAGGCCATCAGTGATGGGGGGGTGGGGTGTGTTTGGCCATACCTCACCGTAATGGGGAGTTGTCGGCTGGCAAAGGGGAAAAAGGCAGGACCGGTTCAGACAACCACTCATGACTGGGTCCGTAGCGTGGGGTGCTGTGTGTGAACTCGCAAATGAAAAAGGGACCTCCTAAAGGAGAGTCTTGAGACTCGGCAAGGCTTTCCTGGATAATTCTCAGTTACTAAAAATGTAACTATTTCTTATTTTACCCGGTAAGGCCCACGGAGCTAAAAAGCTCTTTTTCACAAGCGACCCGGGTCACATACGTTAACTTATCATGCGAAAATGTACATCAGCCAAATATACTCTAAACGCACGTTGATTCCAATAACACGGGGAGGACATGCAAACTCCAAATATCCAGGTTTCAGGCAACGGGATCGAACCCTGTACACCAGGCGACGTAGTCTCCTCTGCACCGATGACACACATGGGGGTGGTGCTCGCCTCAATCGGTGGTGCCCACCGAGCGAGTGGCGTGGATTCTACGCCCCTCATGGCGGTTGCTAACCGGCCAACCGGAATCCCTTCTGCGAATCGATTGCCGGCTCCGATCGTCAACAATCGGTAATCATTCCACGTGGAATTTTAGTCGAAAGGAGGTGGGGGCACATACTTGCACTTTCTACCCACCACGCGTGATCCTCTGATCGGCAAACTGTGGCGGTTCCCATTCGTACTGCCGCGTGGAGAGAATTAGAAGGGGGAATTTAAGAACTTTGCTCCATTTGTTTTAACTCACCGCAACAGGAGATGCAATTGAACCGGCGATCTTGTATGTCGAATGTGCTCACCATCACACCACGGTAGCTCCCTTAAATCCTCGATTAAGGAGGTTGAAGTGCTATGTCTGTGTTGCTAGAAATTCCAATCTTCGCTGCAATCCAGTAACCAATTTCTTCTTCATGTAATTCAAGCGGTTACCGGTAATGCAAAAATAAGGATTCTACTCGCTAAAATCCAACGTCAGTCTCTCCATCGGACGACCCCACTGCTGACATCCCCACAAATTGGCACTTATTTTATGCACCTTGGCCATATCAACCACCAACCAGGATTCACACTTGTATCCTTCCAATTGACAGTCGGATGTTCTAACCAGTGCTGCCACCCGGCCGCATAAAAAAAAAATTGTCTAGATTTACTGTGTGTGTAAGTGGAGGGGAGGGGGGAGATCAGCAGGAAGTGATCATAAAGTGCGAGCCGACTGCATGATGTGGAACCCAACCTTTGGCACAGGCCGTGAATCAGCGAGCGATCAAACCCATCATTCAAACGAGAGGGCTTCACGCGCCACGAGGTTAGGCAGATGACATCAAACAAAAATTAGGTGCTTCGAAATAAAGCCACGTAAAAAAAAGAATCGCCGGCTCAAGTGAGAGAGGGGGGGGGGGGGTGTTCATCTCCGCAGGCGACTTCGGGCAAGTGGTAAAAATTCCACACGTCTATGGCAGGGGCCAATCTGAATATTAGTACTGCCAGCACAGCTGACTTTCTAAAAAGTTGAACTAATTTATTACAATTAACCATGGGATGAAGGGTTGAGATTTTAACTTACCATATTCTAAGTCGAGCTTTAGCCACTCGGGCATTGAATGATGGTCGTAATTAGATCATAAGGAATAAACCATGAACCAGTGATAAATTCAGTGACAATGTCATGATAGACTTGGTGGCACTGTGGTGAGAGCTGGACTCAAAATCAGAAGGATGAGAGTTCACATCACAGACATGGGTCAAATCGGTTAAACTAATTTTATTTTACCAGGTAAGACCCACTGAGCTATGTAGCTCTTTTTCAGAAGCGACCTGGCCACAAATTCTAGCTCAATGAAGTGGCTCATCACGTGGAAATGTACAGCAGCCAAAAACTCTAAAAGCATGTTCTAAATGTGGAGGGAAAAACCAGAGGACCCGGAGAAAAACCTCCTCGACCACGGGAATAACACGCAAACTCCAAATACACAGGCGTCAAGGGTCGGGATCAAAACCACGACCTCGTCCTGTATACCAGGCGAGGTAGTTGACATCTCACCACCACGGAGTTAATCATCTTGCCATCTATCGGAGGCCAGGAAAATAAGTAGTGCTCCTTAGTTGGGAATGACCATGGTCAACCTCCCGAAAGATTGGTCTTATCGTGGAAATGTGAACTTGGTAACGTCGTAAAATTTCGATTTAAAGCTTATCGTGTAAATGTGAACTTTGTAACGTCGTAAAATTTAGATTTAAAGCTTTCGTGACTGCAGGGATTCATATTCTTGGTTCTTTTGGTAAAGTCACGTAGAAGGGAAGTAATAAAATAATAAAAATAAAACATAATAATCGAAATGTTTACCGTAACTGCCTAATTTCTGGCACTGCCCCTGACCAATAGAAGTGCAGCACATAAAGATTTGCCCTCCCTCCATACCCCTCTTTGTGCCACAATCAAATGAATTGTCACGATTCATGGCCATGATTTTAATACATTATAAGTGATCTTTCATCGTGTTTGTGCCGTGGTTTTCATACCCGATGATGATTGCTTGTGTTGCAATCGAAACGTCGTGAGAATGTTGTTTAATTTTTATTATTTTATTATTTCCCTTGGTAACGTCGGTGTAGGGGCCAACATTAGTCACGAGCAATGCACCATTGCTCATTGCGCAGGAAGACGCTGTGCGTCTTGCTTGGAGCTAGTCCGCAGAGCCACGACAGCGACATCGCCAAGGGGCGTTGTGTGCACGTTCCTGTAATTTTCGTGGAATATCCAGGGGGCACAGAGGGCAGCCTTCTCTGTTTGAGAAGCGCCCTGGCAACGGGGCAATTTCTGAGGTCACGCATTTCCATCACGCTGTGCCACAAAACAACATTCCTGCCATTCCGTTGCCAATGTATCATAGCCATCCATCCAGCCGCCATTCATTTACGCAGGCTGCTGTGAAATTATTTACACCCAGAAGAATAAAAAAAAATTGTGGGCCAGGGTTGACAGGATTTTTCCACAGGGACTTTGACCTCCACCCCCTTCCTTGCCGCGGTGCTGGTGGCAGTAGTGGTAGATGGTGTAACAAAACAAAACACGTGTTATGTGTTCAAACACAAAAAGTCCACACGGAGTGATCGTCGAGTTGAAGTGCCGATTCTATTCTGCGCCGGCATAGCGTGTCGGCGTCACAAAATGTTTTGACGCCTCCAACTGGGGAAATGTTTGTTTATAGATTGTTTTTTTCTCTCCCCTAATTCACGAAATGAAACAAGCTCACGCTTGCATGACCGAATCAGCGGGCGTGCCAGAATTGAAACAATGCGGCCAGTTATCGTTGCTAGCAGTTCATATGAGAAACAAACTGCATAACTGCATTATGAGACAAACAACCCCTCTAGGGGATCCTGTGACTTCCAGTGCAACATGAATGGCACGAGTGTTCCTTCTCAAGGCCACAGCAATGCTCTTTCTCAGCTGTGTTCTTATTTCAGGCTGAGCTACCCTGGCGGAAGCCCATTCTACATTGACTTTTTTGGAGGATTTGTTTTCTGATGATCAAGATTAAGGAGATATCGATGATGATGATATCAATATCTACAATGAACCTATGTGACGCAATCTCCAATAAGAATTCTAAACTTTGCGGTACTGTTGATGGCGGCAATGATGCTTCAGGTGTCAATGGTGATGAAGATAAGAGTTTTAAGATGATGGTTGATGAATAACGGTTGTGGAGATGATGATGCTGCTTCCATGAGACATTCAACAAAATTACAAAACTGTCCACTGCACACAGGATGATGATGCTGCAGATGAAGATGAAAACGATTATTTTGACAATTGCAAATGCTACGATTAACTAAACGCCCTAATCAAACGATTTGTTCACTTCACGCAACAGGTGACAATGACGACGATGGTGAAGAAAATCCCAGTAACGACAATTATAAAGAATGACCCGATCACACGCCCCCATTCCAACATTGTTTATTCCCAACCCTAACCCCTCACCTCCTGCACCCTTCATGCTCCATGCGTCCATGTCCCGCATCAGAAAGGCAAACAAAACTCATCACCTGGACAAAAGATCGCCCAGGGCTTTTATAGTTGATGTTTTCCCAACAACTTTATCCCGATTGTGCTATGGGCACTGTGTAATGAGACCAGTGGCGGCTCCTGCAAAATCTCTCAGGGGGGGCAAATGTCTGGATGATTGATAAGGATAAGGTCCACCCATGCAATGAATAAATTAACAGCTTAAGCATGTAAAGGCAACTTCACTTCTTTAATATTAATGAAAAATAAAGTGACTCTTACAATACATCTTGTTTGTTTATATACTCACTATTAAAACAAACCACTCAAGTTTATTTTATTAAAGATTCCACTAGGTAGCGATAAATTATATTGTTGGATGAAACGTGCTTACGTATGATGACGTTAGCACGTATGATGACGTTAGCACGTATGATGACGTAAGCACGTTGGGGCTCGCCCTCCCGGAAGCCATAGAGAATGCATTGGAGCGCCCCCGTTCGAAAAAAACATCTTTGAATGTAAGTCTATGGGGCCACTCGGGACGATTCTCAGCCGGAGTGAAATCGCCCCAAAAGAGGCGGTACTCCACAGAACGTGACATGACGCTGATTGGACTATATCCAGAGGCTGACAGTGACGGCTAGCGTGACTCTGTGGTTGAATGACATTGGTGGTGCGTCGCCCAATCGCCCTAATGAAGAAACCGCCCCTGAATGAGACGCAGTAACTATTCGGATTCCTCGCCAGTGGAACCCTTCGTGTTAAGAGAATGACGGCCTGCGGAAGTGGATGCCACAGAGCTACCCCTCTGCCAACCCCTTCAAGTGCAGGGCAGCACTTTCAGACCCGCTCCGCCACATGAGAACAATGATCGTTGAACAAGAGTCAAACGCAAGGAGTTTGTTTTATTCTGAGAGTCAGAATTTAGCCAAAGCGTAGAACCAATTTCAAAGTGATGGCTTTGTTTATTTTGTGTGCGCAGTCGGTGGTGACCAGGCTGAGACCATCCAATCAGTACACTTGGTGAACCAGGCTCAAATCACAGGAGGCCGAAAGCTGGATTCGAAACGCAGCATCTCAACGGCCGTCTGGAATGCTCCTCCTTCCGATATTAGGAAGCCACTGCATGAATGAAAACTCATTACCTTTACAACTGCTTTGTGTTTGTTGTCCTTTCCCCGCACCTCCGATTAGCACGGTTGGCTATGTATGGTGCGAAAGAAGTTCAACACACACACACACACATAGCCAAGTGTCGTACCCAGCCCTCCCACCCCGCCACCTCCCCACCCCTCACCTGTAGGATGGCGCCGTAGAGACGCAGCAGCACCTGGCGTGGCTCCTCGTGAACGCTCTCCACGTCGTCCGGAAGGGCGCACAGGTACAGCCGGTTGCTGAGGCCGCCGCTGCCGACGAGAGGAGACGACACACGGGTTCGAGTCAAGACGTGGGGGTTGGCGGTGGCCGCGTGTGTGCGTGCGCGCGTGCTGCACCCATCCCGGGTCCATAGCAGGGGGTTGAAAAAAACCTGCGGCTCTTTGAGGACTGCTTCGTGACCTTTATTTATCAAGCACCACCGTGTCGTACTCATGTGCATTGCGGCTCTTGAAATGGAGTAATTTTTTTTACAGAATTTGAAGAAAATAAAATTTCTCTTGTTGTTATTTTGGTCTACTGCCACCTCGACAATAAACCAGGACTGATTATCTGAAGAAAACTTGATGAATAGCGTAAGAGGGGATAACAACATGTAAATTATGCATCGTCCCGAACAGTATATTGTTATGCAAGGGACGACAAAAAAAAACGGACTTTCAATGTTGAATGTCCTTGGACGTATTTCCCAGAATGGACACACCTCTCAGAGAAGACGTTACTCAAAACAAACAGCACAGGTGGCAAACCCCATCACCCACTCATCCACAGACTCTTTATCTAAGTTTTTATTCTCCAAAATGTTTTTCTAATTTGACAGGCATGTTGAACTTTTTTCACACCGTACTTAGCCAACCGTGCTAAACGGAGGTGCGGCAGTCGTTGCAAGGGGAGGTTTTCCTGCAGAATTCTTGCAACGGGAGGTGCGCACAACCCAGTGCGAGGAGACGATTAAGGGCACAAAACCGCTTTCAAAGCCTCTTCAATAGCTCCCCTACCCCCGTACCTATGGCACGCATGTCGGAGGTCCAACGCAGAGTGAGCTGTATTAAACGTTAAAAACGTTACTTTGTATGTATTTTTTTCAGGTGTGCAGTGCTAAATCTCGAGAACCTGGTTTAATGTGAAGATGGCTGAAAGCAGGACTTCGGCCACTTCATCACGTGTTGCTGCTAGGTAAAGCCAAGCCAAGAGTGAAAAACTGTGCAAACAGCAATCACTGCTGATGATAGACGATTAGACAAAGGTGGTGCTTGCTTTAAATTGATAAAAACGCGACCCATTCATAAACGGTCCACCTCACTGCAGGAAGCAAGCTCGCGGCACATTTGTTTGTGTGTGTGTGTTTATATATAAAAACGGGCCGAGGTCTCTTAGTTCCGCAAGCATCGCATGACCCCGGCCAGATCTGCCAGGCCTGTCCGTGCAGTGCTGTGTGGGCGTTTTCACTCCGCACCCCCCGCCCCCCCACCGTGTTCCTCCTCCTCCAACCTCCCCAAGCAAGAGTTTTGTTTTCATCACTGCGGCCAATAGCAGCGAGGGAGGTCCTCCACCCTGCTACCCTCACTGCCCCGTAGAAGCAACAGCAGCACGTGTTGCTCTCTGCTGGTAAACAGACCTCACGTGGCCGCCCCAGCAGCCTGCTTCTCAGAGTGGGAGAGAGGGCGGTCCCAATTGGGCAGCCGCTTCTTACCAGAGCCAGCCCCCCAGCTACCCGGGTCTGCATGTAGCCTGTGATGAAGTGTAAGTACATATGCGGAGTGGTTAGTGCAAGTGGTTAGCGCACTGCGCAACGAACCCGGCAACCCGAGTTTAAATCCCGCTCACAGCCAACACCAGTGACGATTATCTGAACTGGGTCTGGGCCTACCCTAGGTCAACTCAGCGTCAAATGAGTACCTGGTGTGTAAAAACATCGCCACTCGGGAGACAAAGGCGGACGGACGGGCGTGGTGCTGACTACTCGGGCTGAACGATTTGGGGGAAATATCTAATTACGATTTTTCGGACAGATATTGCGATTTGATTTGCGATTACATTTTTTTAAGTCAAGCTTCAGTTCAATATTCACTGTGTAATAGATTTAAAACATGTGATGGAGCATTACCATATGATATCATCAAAATATGAACTGCTCTATATATTCCAATGCAAGGATGAGAACTTAAAAGATATGAATTACTTCCAACATGTATTAGCCAACCATGTTAATTGCAGAGGTGCGGTGTTACAAAGAGCATGTGACATCATTCACAAGCACCAGCATGTTTTTTTTAATCTCATCGTTATTATCCACTGCTGGATGAAGGCCTCCTCAAGCCACTGCCACCTTGCACGATGCAATAATCCATCCAGCGCACGAACAGATTTCATTGCTCCATCTCCTGTTCTCTCCAGATTAGAGGACACACTTTCACACTTTCCTGCCCTGTATATTAAAGCAAACTGTGGGGGTGGCATACTATAACTCTGTTTTTCTGTCCCTGATCAGTCAAATAAATGTGGCAACAGGTTGCACAGTCAGTTTAACACTAAAGTAGTGAACTATTTGTCTTTTGTCAACGTGACACTTTTTTGCTGATTGGCCATGTCGGGTGGTGGAGGGTTACGACACATTTATAAATAACGCGATCTAACCCAAACACGTTATGAGGTTGCACAGTGCTTTTATCTTGCAACACATTGCACACACCTAACGACCGCGAATGAAATCATTAAAATGGGACCGTGCACAAATCTGTTTCAATGCACGTGCTTACCAACTTGCAACGATGCTTATTTTCCATCTAACCGAATGTCCCACGCATGCTCGAATACTGTGACCTCTTAACCGTTAAATTAAGGACATTGCATTCGTATGCACGCGTGCCCTTTGGACAGCCTGCGCACATTAACTCGGCTTGTGATATTTAGTTGCGATTTGGTGCATTGTGGATTTTACGGCGCCCCAAGTGTGGCTGGAGGGGTCACGTGAGCGTATTTACAAAGCATGCAAAGAGAAACATTGGCGCCATATGCGTGCGAGATTAGTTGGAATCGATTAATAACTTCACGCATCTTTGCACCCTAATTAAAACGCAAACGCCAAGCCATGGATATAAATACCACGTAGTATTTTGCTACTAAATACAAGTTGACCGTTTACAAATGGAAGCAGAATTTGATAGGCACTTGACACAGCAAGCCACCACCTCGTGCCAGACGGTTTGAATGTCGGGGTCTAAGTTACATGAACTGCAGTGACACGAGGGCTAAAAGAGTTGGCCACTCTGAACGGGCATCAAGACTGATGAGCTCCACATGGCACTTTTTAGGGCAAATGGAGTCGTGCAAATGGGAAAAAACACGTTAAAAATAGCGTTAAGAGTACGAAATTGAGGAGCCGGACAGCTTCCTCATATTGAGAAAAATAAAGTTTTGCTTTGTCAAGGTGCCTAGCAGAAAAAAATATCACTGTGTAATTAAAAATAACAAATAAAACCAGAAGGCAGAGCTAATAACCCCCCCCCCCCCCCACCTCTGTAGAATACTCTTAAAATTTAGCAAAATAGTGTCCGAAAGTCAATGCTTGTTACTAAAAACTAAACAAAACTTTTTATTTCACCAGCTCAAGCCCACAGAGCTATACTGTAGCTCTTTTTCAGATGCAACCCAACCACAAATGAGAGCTCGACTAAGTGACTTGCAGGGAGAACATGCAAATTCAAAATTGACAAACGTCAGGGGCGGGATCGAACCCACGACATCCTGCATACCAGGCGAGGGCAGCTAACATTTGTGACGAACGGGGATGCAGCACAGTCTGCACTTGGAGTCCATACTTCTATTTGTGCCCCAGTCCTGAGACCTTAGGTCCCTCAGGTGGATGAACGCCTGTGAATGAGGAATCCCAAAAGAGCCAGTGTTTTTGCTAAGTAAGCAAAAATCATCGGCTCTGCCAATATAACATTTCTATTCAAGTAAAAATCGTTTTCGTCTTTAAAAAAATTATTTTGGCCATATCTGAGCAAGCGGTGGAAATGACAGCATTGCCGTTGTAGGTGCCAGGCAGAGGAGGCGGCATAGTGGTTTTGTGCAGTTGACCGCTCACGTGAGTGACGCGAGACATCTAAACCGATCCTTGCGGGCCCCCCCCCCCCCGCCACTCCCCTCCACCAAGTCCTACTGAGCATCAGCATGGCGAATGGTCACAACCCTCCACGAGCGACGTACGCTTTGAGAGGGCTTCATCCAACAATGCATTGACAAGGGGCTACGTATGCTGAACTTCTTTCACACCGTACGTAGTCAACGGTGCTAAACCGGAGGTGCTGGGAAGGACAACAAGCTAAACACAAAGGAGACGTGAAGCTGGATTGAGATGTTCACGGAATCGCGGTTTGTGTTTCAATGGACGTGACGATGTCATACGACCGAGGGATATGAACATGATTTAATAATGATAAAAATATACTGGCAAGTGCTGGTCTCGCCGTAAGATGGCCGTCGTTGTTGACTTCCTAAAAGTGGCGTTTCGTTATTACCGTATTCTGTGGAATTATAAGACGCTCTGGAAAACAGGACAAAGCCTACATTTGTACCCGTTGTCAATAGGGTTATACAAATCTGGTCACACTAACACTATGAAACATTTTTTTTAATTCTCCCATGTAAGGCCCACTGAGCTGTATAGCTCTTTTTCATAAGCAACCTAGCCACAAATCATAGCTCAATTAAGAGTCTTTTATCATAATGTGGAAATTTATAGCAGCCAAATACTATAAATACACGTTTCTAAAAGTGGAGGGGGAGATTGGAGGACCCGGAGAAAAATCCACATGAGCACGGGGAGAGACGGGAAAACTCCAAATATACAGGTGTCAGGGTCAGGATCGAACCCACGACCTCCTGTAGGACTAGGCGAGGAAGTTAACATCTCGCCACCGTGGCACACACATACATTACAAAACTACCAGATCTTATCCTGCTAGTTATACAGTGACTTTTGCCTGCATTAAAAACGTCATAAAACCATATTGGTTGTAAGTCAAAAGTCAAAACGTCTCCCTGCTCCAAAGAGTAATCTTCATCTCCATCGACGGAGTCAAAACTCCACATGACTACGTTAGGAACCAATCTCTCCATTGAAACAACCGCTGTTAACTTCCCGTAGAGCGGTATGCCCACGAACGCGATCTCACAGGAAGGAGAGGCCGTCAACCACGGACCGGGACAGGACATTGCCATTTCGAGTTGAGTGCTCTCACCAAAG